CTCACTCACTCACTCACTCACTCAACTTCTATACCTCTTCTGGGCAGTTCACAACATAGTAAAACAACACCTAACACTTCAGATAATTCTATGCAATGACAGGTTGTAAGGTGGCATGCAATTATTTGGGCTTCAGCTGGTCTACGACGGTGGTTCTGAACCTTGGGTCCCCAGATGTTCTTGGACAGCAACGTCCAGAAATCCTGGCCAGCACAGCTGGTGGTGAAGGCTTCTGGGAGTTTTAGTCCCAGAACATCAGGGGACCCAAGAGGTTGGGAACCTTGCCCTGCCAACCAATGAGGTCCGGGATGGCCTGAGGTCTCCTACCTTGGGCCCCAGGGGGTTGGGCTAGAAGACCTCCAAGGGCCCTTCCAACCCGCTTCTATGAAGTATACATCCAGTGCATTGTCTCCCGCCTTCTGCCCTCCCCTGACAACCATTGCTTGCCCACGAGAGGCGCAAGGGTCCATGTCGCATCCGAAAAGGTTCCCTTAACATCCCTCCTTCCTCCATCTTATCCTCCTTAGACTAGCGATAGTTTCTGCTCCATCAGAAACTATGTCATCCACTCATCCGCTTCTGTGCAAGCCTCACAGCCTGCGTGCAACCCCCTCGGCTGTTTGTGCGCGCGCATATGAGCGTGCAGGCTAAAGGACACCCATGAAGAAGTCACAAATCCCAGGAGTTGGGTTCTTGGCTAAAAAAAATGGGGAACGTTCGTTCTGAGGAACAGTAACCCCCTCTGGCTGGCCGTGGGATTCTGAGCGATGCAGCCCAGAAAGCTAATGTTTCCCGACTCTCTCCAAGTTTGCTCTGAGGTCACAGGCAAACCAGGCTTGCCCCTCTGGCTCTTGAGCGGTGGGCTAGTCAAGGCTCTGTCTTTTTGCCCCTCTGGCATTCAGAGAAGGGCAGGTGGTGGCGAAGAGGGTTGCCAAACCTCAGGGCCACCAGCCGGCAACTCAGGGAATGGCTCTGTTTCTCCAGGTGTGGAAACAACTCTCTGGGTGAGCGATGCTGCGGGAGGGGGTCCGCTTTGCGTGTGCAAGCCTTCTCAATTCACAGGCTATGGCAGTGATGGCACAGGGGCTGGGAAAAGGCTCACACACACACACAGACAGACACAGACACAGACACAGACACACACACACACACACACACACACACACACACACTCATGCTGGCAGAGAGAAATCTAGAAGCTGCAGCACTAATATACCATTTTTGGGAGGGCAAATCTCAGAGCATCCACTGTAATTTCTATGGACGGAAAAGAGCAGATACGGATTAAATGGTTTTCAATGCATTCCTATGGGAAATGCAGATTCAACATAAGAACTTTTCAACTTGAGAACCACCTTCCAATACGGATTAAGTTCTTAAGTAGAGACCCCACTGTACAGTATATTGCTTTTGGGAGGGCAAATCTCAGGTGATGATCACACCAGGAAAATGGACCCCTTTTCTAATGATACTTTTCATACCTCTGTTGCACTGAATCTCGGTCATGCGGCAAACATTCCTGGCCTAACATTCATTTGTTTTAACATGACTGGTTCATTTCTTCCTATCTGAAACACTGCAGCTGGCTACACCGTGGGACTGATTTATTCTTTGACCTGTCTCCCGGGGCAGGCCCTTAACGTGAGATTTTTTTAAAAAAAGTACCCACTGCCTCTGAGCGCCACGGGGTGAGCACGCTTCTTCTTCAAGGCAAAACCGTGCTCCTGACCACTCGCTCTCCCTTCTCCCTTTCCCCTGGTGAGAGTGACGTTCACACATGCAATCCCACTAAGGAATGATACATCATCGGAACAAAACAGCACAGCTGTTCCTGTGGGGGGGGGAAGAGCCACAGATAGACTGCTGGCCAGGAAAAGGACCTGATCGTGGTTGTGCATCGCGCAACTGGGAATGTGGCAAAGATCTAAGAGAGTATAGAGGGAGGAGCATGTGCCGCATCTGATCAGGGCCTCACGTGTGCTGCAGGATAGCAGCAACGGAAAATGCACCGTTGAAGAAGTGGTGGCAGCCCCTGAAGCTGCTGGCGCACTGGCTACCTGGCTAGTACTTAAAAAATATGGTTTTCCCTCCCCTGCTGCCCGTTTTGACTTTCATCCCTTTTATATCTATTGTGCTAGGCTTTATCCAGATCCTTCTCGCATCTTTTTCCTGCCATCTGCTGGCCCAGAATCAGGTCTGGGCCCTCTGGACCCCCCCCCTGCTCTGTGATGTCATGGGGAGCCACCCTGTGACCTCACAAGTGTTCACCCGCTGATAGCATGGGGTCTCTGACTTTGAACCGGACATTTCAGGGAATGGGGCACTACCCTGCTGGCCACCAGCCCACCTGGTTGTCCATCTTATGGCAAGTTGCAGGGTGCATCTGGTGAGGCCCTGAGGCTGAATTAGGCACCGGGGGGGGGGGACAGGTTTGGGGCCCACCTTTTCTTTATCTTGCTGTTCTGTTACTCCCTCCAGTTCCCCAGGATGTTCTAAACCCATGTTACTTTAAAAAAAAACCCTCACCATTGTCTTTAAAATAGTTTCAAGGCAAAGCTGGTGGTTTGCTCAAGATAACGGAAAAGGTTGTACAAATAAAATCCCAATGGGAAACACTGAAAATTGGAGCAGGTTAAAGCAGCTCACCACACTTTGAACAGAAAAAAACCCATTAAATTCCCAAACTCCGCATGAAGATGATAGCTTTATGGGACAACTCAGGTTTTACACAAAGCAGAATACAAAAATATACAAAAAAAATCCACGGAGAAACACAAAAGCTTTTGGGAGCTTTTCACTTTTATTTGGTGAGACGTTAAAAGGAAACTGTGTGCGTGTGGTGAGGAAGTGAAGGGAGATTGGGAGTGGGTGGAGAAAGGCTGAGGTAAAGCCCTCCCTCCCCACATGGTGTTCTCAGGTGTGATGGGCAAAGGAAACGAGTCTCATCTTATGATGCAGTGCTGTCAGGTTTCTCTTGTGGCAGGCCACGGAGCCGTGGTTCCCAACCTGGGGTCCCCAAATGTCTGTGGACTGCAACTCCCAGAAGCCTTCACCAGTAGGAGAGTTGTAGTCCAAGAACACCTGGAGACCCAAGGTGAGGAACCCACTGAGGATTTTTTAAAAGTAGAAACTTTGCTCTTCCATCTTATACCACATAAATCCTCAACAGACTAATACTGTACATATTTTGTGTGGGTGCCCAAAATAATTGGTTTGTCTCTTTAGTCTAAGTAGAGCCTGAGGCCTCAAGAGTGTTGCTAGATAAAAACATGAGATATTCCTCCAGTGACATCTGGAAAACAAATCAGGATTCCCCAGCCTCCAGTGGAAAAAAGAAACCTCGTTACCTTTGATATTCCCACCTCTGAGCATGTCAGAAGCAGCATGAAGCCTGAAGCTGCTCAGACAGTGATCTGCCTAAGAGGACAGAAAGAAAAATAATTTTGTGACAGCTCTAAGGTGAGCGGATTTATTTGCACCGGAGTCGTTGTGCACTGCAACCTGCTTCTTCAGATGCAGCCTGATGACGTGTTGTGGACCAAGAAAGCTCAGGTCAATAAAACTTCTGTGCTTGTTTAGTTAGGGCTTACCAGACATTATAGCTAGTTAAATGATGTCCTAATGCTTCGGAGGAACCCTTTTTCTGGATACCCAGTGTGGAGTAGTGGATCGAGTGATGGGTGAGGACTCTGGAGGCCTGGGTACTAATATCCAGTTGACAATGGAAACACACGGGGTGTATCTGTTCGAGTTAGTGAAACCACTCCTTAAATATCTATCTTACCTTGAAAGCCCTCTTTGTTGTTGTTTAGTCGTTAGTGTCTGACTTTTCCT